GACGGTATTCTTGAGTGTAGCTCGGGGTAAAGTTTCAGTACCAAAAGCGGTAACCCCGAGCTACACTCAGGAATACCATGCGGCGCTGCTCCAGCATCTGTTCTTCACTTACCTTGTCCTGCGCTCCCGCGATGTCCCTCCTGCAGTGTCCCCGGCAATGTCCTCCAGCCGATGCCGGCATCTGTCATCTGGGTTCCGTCCCCTGCGACGTCGGGACGTACGGGGGACGGAACTGGCGGGAAATTTGAAAATGACAAAAAGTGACATTCACTAAATATACTAAAATAACATAGTAAAACATTACTGTATCAAACCATTTCACATACATTTTGTCCCGAGTGCTTTGTCCTGCGCCCTGCCTGCATTTTTACTGTTCTTTCTGGCTGGAAACTGAGAAACGTCCATGGCGTCCAAAAAGCGTCCCTTTAGGTCAAAAGCGGTTTTAGACCGGCTAGAGAACAGCGATAGTAAATCAGAACCACTTGCAGAATTGAGTGATAATGATTCGTGGGGGAAATTTGTCATCAGACACTGGAAACGATTTTGCGACTTTGCTCAGCGATGTGCGAACTTGGCGCTATATTTCAAATTTCAGTGTTTTTGGTTTGATTACATTATTGAATTAAATTTATTATTATTATACTATTATTTTTTATGATTATTTATTAAATTATAATTTATGATTTTGTGTTTCAAGTTTTATCCTACCCGGGATATTTACTAGACTCTTGTTCTGACAGATTTCAGTGAGTTATTCCTAAAAATGACAGGCCTACAATAAAAAAAATACATATTTCCATGCAAAAAAATGTACCGCTTTGAGCACAGAAATACTGACATAATTAGACCGCTAGGGAGGTTAAAGTTCAGTTTACGGTCTATAAACATTTCAAACAACATTTCCCTTATTTTTAAACTGTCGCTTATCAGTATTCCATTTATAATGTCCGTATCAGATTATGCTGATAGATACACCGGAATACACATTTAAAAGCTATTTCTGTCTTGTAGTTCAGGATCCCTGACATCCGATTTGTGTGTCCGCCACACTGTTTTATCCACTTGTGTCTATTTCTAGCATATCGCCATCTTCCATAATGACTTGTTGTGTTGGTTAGAAGCCGTGCAGTTTCACGGACTCTTCATGTTTACAGCAAACTTCAAGTGCTCTCTACGGGAAGGAATGAGGGTGTGACAGCTTGTTAAGTCAGTGAAGGATATGACTGAGAGACGTGTAGGTATATTTCATGTACATTCATATTTTTCATTTTTGCTTCTCTTGCTCGGAGCAGAGTCTGGGCTCCAGGCACGCAGATTTCTTTCCTACGAATCTTGAATGGCAGCCAAATGGTTTCATTGGAACCACTCTTCTTCAGCTTGATGCAATATCCGTATTTTCAGTTCTCCTGAAGTAGCCTGGCCTTCCTGGGGTATTGTGACTGCAAAACTAAATGACTCCTGTGGCTTTTCCTGCCGGAAAGGAAATTGGTCTTTTACTTTTATTTATGTTAAAACATGTAATATAAAGAGGTGAAATCCGTCTACCCCACCCCCATTGTGAGGCTATGACTTTTTTCAAGTTGAAAGCTGAACTTGATTTAATTCTGTAATTCTGCACTGCATATCTTTTATTAATATAATTGAGGATGATTTAGTAGTTTTTAAATATTTTCTGTAACAGTTTATAGTCAGTGTGATGCTTTAAACCTTTCACTGCCAGAGCTGTTTTTGTTTTTGCATTTTTTTAAATACACAATCATTTTAGGCCTGAAGATTAGTTAAAACCTTCAAACATTATGTAATTTCTTAATGCAGGGACCATAGAGGATACAGTGGTGGTAGGTTCAATTATTGAAGTCACACATTATTTGCGCAACAGGTAATCAAGGGAAAAATTACATTAAAGTTAATTCTGCATATGCAATATATTACCCAATTTTTAAAATAAAATATAAAAAAATTAGGTTGCGCCACATAAAAAGATACCCAACATGTCAAGCTTTCAATGTGCGTGCCGAAACATCAAACTTTGGTACCCTATATTTTCCATAGGCAATGCTTTAACCCCCCCCCCCCCATACACACACAGGCAGGGCATGGACAAGGGCTGGGAGGAGGGGTAGGCAGAAGGGGGCTGGATTTGTGCTGGGATTGATTTGCAGAAGGAATAGAATTTGTGCTAGAAGAGGAAGTTTGTATCAGGAGGGGTGTTTTTTAGGGGAAGGATTTGTGGTAGGAGGGGGACATTTGAGTGTGGAGGGAGGGGGAAATTTCACATTTTTATTTGGAGAGAATATTGGCTTGCAGAGGGAATTTATACTTGGGGGGTGGGGAGGAGGGGTTAACTTTGCCATCTATACCCTGGGATCTAGATGTCCTTGTCCCAACACTGCCCACAGGTCAACCGTTTGGAGTTGGCCATAAATATTGGCCCTAAGATTATTGCTCTCACTCTGGCATGCACGGTGATATGAAATATTTATATCACAAGCAACGCATCATTACATAGGCATCCCTGATGGGCGATGGCTGCATTTCCATTATGCATGCACATGGGGGCGGAAATAAGATATACCTATGCTTAAATCCTAATACTCAAGAGAATAAATTCAGTTCCTCTAATCTTTCCTCATAGCTGAGCTCCTCCATGCCTCTTATCAGTTTGGTTGCCCTTCTCTGCACTTTCTCCAGTTCCCCCTTTTTGTGAATTGGTGCCGAAAACTGAACTGCATATTCCAGATGAGGTGTTACTAATGATTTGTACCGGGGGAAATGATATCTCTCTCTCTGGAGTCTATACCTCTTTTAATACAAGAGAGGATTTTGCTCGCTTTAGAAACCATAGCTTGGCATCGCATGCCATTATTAAGCTTGTGATCTTTCAGAACCCCCAGATCCTTCTCTGCCATTGATTCTCCCAGTTGTCAGGGGTTGTTTTTAACCCCTTGGTGCCTACCACCTCCTGGCCCTTTATGGGTTCTAAAATCCAGGAGGGAGAGGCGGGGCCTCCAGGTCATGTGATCTCTGTGATTGGCTGTTACAGTGGTCACTTGAGCGAAACTCTCCAGATCACAAGTATGCATTGGGAGCTTACCAATCGCAGACGGTTATTGTGCTGGGAGCGTGCTGTCAGCATGGTAAGTAGTTTTACCAGGTTCGGAAAACAAGCAGCAGATTAATGAGCCATAATGTCCTGTCTTCAATGGAAGCTAGATTGCAGGCCAGCTAGATGAAGCAGATCACACTGCATTAACTTCTTTCCTGGCCCTTGTGACCCGAAACCAGAAGGGATGTTTTATATGTTGCTTCTGAGTTCATTCTAGCCAGGGGAGATCAACCTCACCACCTGCCAGCCTTATGGCAGTGGTGGTACAAGGGTTGAAGCTGAACTTTGGGATAGGCAAATATTGTTGAAATATAAGCGTCATGTGTATTCTTTCTTGACTATCGGTGTGCTTTGTGTATTTCTTCCAGATCTGTGCAGTTATCCTATGTGAGACCTTACCTCTGTGCAGGAGCTTCCTCTAATAAAGATCGGTCACTGTTCCTTGTGCATGGTGAGATCTTGTCTCCGCCCCCTCTTGTACAGGCAGCCTGTAGTGGGTGGGGCCTAATGGGTCCCTCCCAAAGCTCTGCTCTCTGTATAGGCTATAAATAGCACAGTGATGATGTCACCACGACTTTTACCAGGTAGTAATTGGGTTTCCAAAGGCATTTGGTGCACAAGAAGTGAATTTATATCCTTTATGGCTGTTGAGGAATATACACTCAGCTGCCACTTTATTAGGTACACCTGTTCAATTGCTTGGTAACACAAATTTCTAATCAGCCAATCACATGGCAGCAACTCACAGTAGCTAAATGGTTAGCACTTCCGCCTGGCAGTACTAGGGTCGTTGGTTTGAATCCCAACCATGGCACCACCTGCCTGGAGTTTGCATGTTCTCCCTGTGCCTGCGTGCGTTTCTTCCCACACTCCAAAGACATGCTGGTAGGTTTATTGGTTCCTGTCTAAATTGGCCCTAGTATGTGTATGTATGAATGTGAGTTAGGGACCTTAGATTGTACGCCCCTTGAGGGTTAGGGACTGATGTGAATGTACAATATATATGTAAAGTGCTGTGTAAAGTGACGGTACTATATAAGTACCTGAAATAAATAAATAATATAAATAAATAACTTAATACATTTTAGGCATCTAGACATGGTGAAGATGACTTAGTGAAGTTCAAACCGAGCATCAGAATGGGAATTTAAGTGACTTTGAATGTGACATGGTTGTTGGTGCCAGATGGGTTGGTCTGAGTATATCAAAAACTGCTGATCTGCTGGGATTTTTAACGCAAAACCATCTCTAGGGTTTACAGAGAATGGTCCGAAAAAAAGAGAAAATATCTAGTGATTGGAAGCTGTGTGGACAAAAATGACTTGTTGAGGTCAGAGGAGAATGGGCAGCTTGGTTTAAGATGATACAAAGGCAACAGTAACTAATGTCAATATGGACCAAAATCTCTGAGGAATGTTTCCAACCTTGTTCAATCTATGCCATGAAGAATTAAGGCAGTTCTGAAGGCAAAAGGGGGTCCAACCCGATATTAGCAAGGTGTACCTGATAAAGTGGTCGGTGAGTCTATTTGATTGAAAGTTTTTATGCCCAAGATTCAGCTTCAAAGTGGACCTTTACCCACTTTCACAAACGTTCCCATCAGCCTTCAGCTCTGCTTGTTCCAGGTCACCTGCTGTATTTTAGCCTCCTGTAATACCCATAGCCTGCAAGTCTTCTGTGGAAATCTGCTTCTGTGTTAGCAGATATTTTGTAACATCATATTGAATGATGGCTGCTACAGAGGCAAGTCTGACGTTTTATATTAACCACCTTCTGCCCGCCCTATAGTACAATGATGGGTGCAAGGTGGTTCTCTCGTTTTGATAGGACGTCATATGACGTCCTACCATTCTCACTGCGCATGCGCGGCTCAAAGAGCGAGCAGCGCAGCGATCACCGATGCTCTGTGTCCCTCGGACACGGGATCACGGAAAGAGCCAAAGATGTCAGCTTGGTCATGTGATCAGCTGTGTCTAATCACAGCTGATCACATGTAAACATGGAAATGCCGGTTATCGGCATTTCTCTCCTCTCGAGCTGTCACGCTGACAGCTCGAGAGGAGAGGAGTGCCGGTAATTGGCTTTCCGCGGAGGGGACATGTATACTGATCATCAGGGCACTGATGATCAGTGTGCCCTGATGATCAATGTGGCCCCAGAAGTGCCACGTGCCAGTGCCCATCAGTGCCACGTGCCAGTGCCCATCAGTGCCACGTGCCAGTGCCTATCAGTGCCACATCAATGCCACATATCAGTGCATTCCAGTGCACATCAATGCCGCATATCAGTGCCCATCTGAGCTGCCTTTCAATGTCACCCATCAGTGCCAGTCAGTGCCACCTATCAATGCCAATCAGTGTTGCCAATCAGTGTTGCCTATCAGTGCGCATCAGTGCCACCTATCAGTGCCAGTCAGTGCCGCCTATCAGTGCCAGTCAGTGCCGCCTATCAGGGCCATATATCAGTGTCATGTATCAGTGTTGCCTTTCAGTGCCCATCAGTGATGCCTCTCAATGCCCATCAGTGCAACCTACCAGTGCCTCCTCATCAGTGCCAATCAGTTCCACCTATCAGTGTCCACCAGTGCAGCCTATCATTGCCCATTACTGCAGCCTCATTAGTGCACATCAGTGAAGGAGAAAAATCACTTATTTACAAAATTGTATAACAAAAACTTTTTTTTTCAAACTTTTCAGTGGTTTTTGGTTTGTTTAGGAAAAAATAAAAATCCCAGAGGTGATTAAATTCCACCAAAAGAAAGCTCTATCTGTCTCAAAAAAATGATAAAAATTTCATATGGGTACAGTGTTGCATGACTGTGCAATTGTCATTCAAAGTGTGACAGCGCTGAAAGCTGGAAATTGGCCTGGGCAGGACGGGGGTATAAGTGCCTGGTAGGCAAGTGGTTAAAGGAGAAGTTTAGGGTTACTAAAAATAAACATACATACATACATACTTACTTACATACATACATACATACATACACACCTCTGTGCTGCAGCATCGGTGTGATTCGACAGCTGTCATTAGCCAGCTGTAAGCCAGAGAACTGAGCAATCAGATGACAGTTGACTGCTCAGTTCTTGGTCAGCTCTGAGCAGAGAGTGGTGATTCCTTCACCACTCTCTGCTCTGCCTCTCCAGTGCTCTCTGAAGTGTTGGGCTGCAGCTGGCTTCAGCTCTCAGCCATGCGTAAGCCAATCCAGTAGGTGGGTGGATCCCAACAAAATGGGCAGGATCCAGCTCTCAGCCATTTGGTAGCCAATCTGGTAGCTGGGTGGATCCCAACAAAATGATCAGGATCCTTCCACAGTCTGGAACAGCTTTGTGACATCAGCTGATTCTGGGTCACAGGAGAGCACAAGTAAGTGCACTCTTATGACCCACAAGAGAAGTATGGCCAAGAAAGCTTTGTCCATACTTCTCTTTTAAGCATTCCTCTGCAGGGAAAAACCTGTTGAAGTTCTCTAGGCGTATGTTTTCTGCGACTGAAAGAGCCCACCAAAATTAAAACATGAGGGGTTGCCATTGCTGGCTTGTCTTGAAGGAGCAGGCTCTGGGGCTGTCACCCTGACCATGGTTTCTGTGCTTGGTGGCTCACTGACCTTAAACAAGCATGTGCATTATACATGTTTTTTCCAGGTCAATTACTTGACGATTAGTAAAGTAAGGCTAAGGTTAACAGTTGTGGACTATGTACATCTAAAAACAAGTTAGCAATAGCATTGCTCATATTTATACAGATTTCTTTTAAATGAGGCCTCTCGTGGTTCTCATTTATTGATTTTTAGGCATAGCATAGTGTGGCATTTCACAACCTTTTTACCCCAAGGAACCCTTGAAATAATTTTCAGTCTAAGGGAACCCCTGCTAAAACCAATTTATTAGTCAGTGGCAAAAATACCTCTTATATTGGTGTTCATTGGGAAGAATGTCCTCCTTTTACAGACAGCGAAAAAGATCATTGTTGCCCTGGAGCTGGTTCTTTCAAGTGGTGTTGGCCGTCCAGATCTGGACACAAGTTTATGTCATGTTCAGATCCATATTTAATGTTTCTCTACCTCATAATCCTTGGAAAGCCCTTCTACATGAACCAATATTATCCCTCACTAGACACCAGAGGAGGCTGGTGGAATATCTGTTTCTGGCTGCTCGGCAGACTACTAGAGCATGGTGACAACCATTTATTAACCTTGCTGAAGTTAAACAGAGGCTAATGAGCATGATGGAGCGCAAGAAGCTTACCTCCATTCTGGATGATACCCACACTAGGTTTTTGGATCCCTGGAATACATATAGTACCCAAGAGAACATTGATCGAACCTTGCTTTCCATATGATACCCTCCTGTAGCCTTTGTACACCGCAGCTGGATCAGCCCATCCGGGAACCCACTTTCCCAGCCCCTGCCTTTTCTTTCTTTCTTTTTCTTTCTTTCTTTCTTTCTTTCTTTCTTTCTTTCTTTCTTTCTTTCTTTCTTTCTTTCTTTCTTTCTTTTTTCTTTCTTTCTTTCTTTCTTTCTTTCTTTCTTTCTTTCTTTCTTTCTTTCTTTCTTTCTTTTTCTTTCTTTCTTTCTTTCTTTCTTTCTTTCTTTCTTTCTTTCTTTCTTTTCCCCCAGGCAAGTCCCTCATTCTTCTTTTCCCTCCAAACCTTTTTCATACATCACTGTTTTCCTTTCCTCTCCCTCTTTTCTCCTTCCCTGCTGTGATACCCCTGGCAAGGGCCATTGGATCCTTTATTTTTTTTTTTTTTTTTTTTCCAATTTTTTTTTTCCTTTTTGCATAGCTAGGCAGATGGTAGAGCCTGACACGTCCGCAATGCGTAATTCTCACCTGCCAGTGCACTAAGTGAGTCTTTCCTGTTACGTATAGTTTGGTTACCTTTGGATGATATTGGAATTGATGTTTCCATGGATATGTCAAGCTGTCTGCTTGAGCTTTCCACCCTTGCATGTCTCAGTTCAATGTATTTATTGTATTTTGCTTTTGTGCCTCACTTTTTGTATACTGCTCTTTGCATTGTTTCTATTTTTGGAAAACAAGTGGTGTTGACCCAAGAACTATGCAGGCACCACAAAGTGGGTAAGGGGTGGGTGTCAGTTGGTCACAGCTCACGGAACCCTTAGCAGTCTATGGGGTCCTTAAGGTTTCACGGAATCCTGGTTGAGAATGGCTGGTATAATGTTTTGGAAGTTGTAAGCCATTAGTGAGCATTGTGTAATTTAAGTTCCATGCATGTTTATTGTACATGTTCATCAATGTACATTGATGTAATGTGAGTCATTTTGTTTAGCAAACATTTAGGTTGACTGTAAATTAAAAGCTGCAGTAGCCAGGAACGTGCTGGTGACTATCCTAAATGCTTTGGAATTATAGAGTAGTCATCAGAAATGTGTGGAATGTTGGACTCCTCCTAGCACATTGTCATTTTTATCGTGGAATAAGAATGACTTTGACTTTATCAACATTTTTGAATGGCAAACATTAGATTTTAATTCAAACTGCCTACATATAAAGGTAATCTTGAATAAAGAACACACGAAAAATGTACCTTTTCAATCAATTAACAAAAATATCAATAAATGTAACAGTGTAGTGGAAAAAGTAAGTACATCCTTGGCATCAAAAGCTAGTATTGCCCTTTTTAGCCGGCAAGATGTCAACCTCTCTACCTTGTCCAATCAAATAATGAATTTAAAAAATACAAAGCATTTTCTGAATGTCGTCTGTGCTTGTAAGGGGGTAGATGTATGGTACTCACCCCCCCCCCCATGTTTCCCTCCTCACTGGGCTCCAAGTGTGGGTAACATAAGGGGCCTCTGGGTTCCTCTGGGCTTCACTAGGCACCTAGGATGGGTCATTCACCTTGCATGTGGTGTACCTTTACTGTACCATGCTCATCAATGCCCCGGGACCAGGTGAAGGATGTTTTCAGAGATAACGCAACCTTAAGGCGGACCTCCAGCTCAGAGATGGCTATACACCGTGTATCTTGAACACTCCAGTTACTGTAACTCTCTCCGGCTCTGAAGCAACGTTCACCTTCACTGTCAGTTGCCGCAATTCACCGCAATGCCCACTCCAGCTGTCCAGCATATCTCCTCTACTTCACACCCAGTAATGGAATAGAGTCCCACTGAGCACCTAGTGTGGACCCCATGTGCATTCTATTAACTCTTCCTCTTCTGTACCTATGACCAGGTCCAGAATCTCTGCAGTGCTGGTCTGCTCCCATTGCTATGGGAGACTGACCATTCAGAGAGAGTTATGATAACATCTCCCTCATTGCTAGAGGGCATCCCAGCTGTCAAAGGTAAACACATCAAAACAGGCTGCTTGTACTGGCTGTAGACTACCGTTACCCCTTGTAACCACTTGCTACTTTCTGTAGTGCAATAACGTTTGTGCTGCTGTCTTCATACCCCAATGTGTTTTACTGACCCAAGCTGTAAACTATATGTAGTGCCGGTTACATCCATACACCCCTTTGAATAACTGCACACCAGGCATGGCAAAGTTTTAATGTTTTACTTGAATAACTTAAGCATTACAGATGACAGATTAACAGTTCTTCTCTAACCTAGTTCTTAGCTACAGCAGCTGCCCTAGCATACCTGCACAGGCAAGAGTCCATTCTTGGCAGAGTCTATAGTGGTAGAATCCAGATGCTGATGTCTTAAGGATAGACTGTATGTCCCAGCAGTCCCCCTACATAGGACAGACTGTATGTCCCCCCTAGTTGAAGACTACGTCAAGCAGAGCTTGCAATGCAGGACCAAGCCCCCTCTCTGTGGAAAAGCTGAAAATTATATTCTGTGGCTTGGCTGTGTCTTCTTCCCATGCAGCAGACAGACTCCAACTGGGCAGAGCCCTACCCCTTTTATTTACAGCACAGGGAGAGAGACAGAGCCCAGAAAAGAGCAGGAAACTGCATTAACCCTTCCCACCCCATTAGGGCATTCAGCTGTCTCTCCAGCCCAGCATTTCAACCTGCTTACATGCTGAGCAGCCGACCGCCTGTATTCAGAATGCAGCAGGGCAGCCACTCAGCACAGGACCTAGTAGAGATCACTTGAGTAACGGTGCCTACTACAGCGATTTACAGCTTCTAGAGGGATCCCACAGGTATGATACATCCATAGTTACATTGGTCCAAGCCAATTAGAGCAATTTAAATATGTAAAGAAAGCCATACCTGGAATTCTTCTTTGAATTAAAATTCAAGTAACAGAGATCCATGCTTGCCTTTTTCAGACACTCCCATTTACGCATGATTCTGCCCCAAAGAAGCCAAAGTACTCTTTCAAACTTTGCAGCAAGCAACACAATGTTCACATGGGAATGTTTTTTTTTTTTTTTTTTTGCCATAGTATTTTTTTTACCTTTC